TAATAATGCAAACCTCTCTGTCCTAGTTATGAAAACGTTCGACTAAAGCTTCGAATTTAAAAAAAAATTATCCTTGCAATTATCTTCAACAATGCTTTCGCTTCAGGAAATCTACCCTCCCTTTATTTTTCACCGTTGTCATGATCTCGAATTTCAAAATGATTGAGATGGAAGATCCCAGAAAATAACAGGGAAGGAAGCGACATGATCATAGCAGCTGTGGCTAGGGAATTCTAGGATCAAAGCCAATGGCGTCGTTAGGAAAATTAGATTTTCCGACAAAAATCTAATAAGCATTTTTTTTCATAATTTGAGCATGACATGACGACACCAGAACTGAAATAAAAACATGTTTTCACATATTCAGATAGCCTTATGTTTATTTGGTTTTTAAAAATATCTTATCAAAACATAATAATTAGATGAAAATGGGCAACCATGTTGAATTTCCGACAGAAAAACAGAATAAATGTTAGGTGGTTCAACAACATAAACCCCTGGATGAGATGCTGCAAAGATTACGGTTTAATACGACATTTACCGACTGACTGCGAAGGCTGCATCCATGGCTTATGATGATTTTTTGTGATAGAGCAAAATACAGTACATGTTGGTTTGCTAACCCCCTGCTGCGGCATGACGTCATTTTGAGCGGCACTTTTCGTGGTTCTCTTACTTTGTCCCTATTCAGGATTCAGATTTGAATTCGAATTCAGGTGTTGTTTTATTTATGTATCTATATCTAAGCATCTGCTTGGCTCATTTTACATATACCCCCCCCCCCCTTTAATAGGGGTCGGGTATTTAGAATTTTCCGGGATTTTGAGATGCCTTGTCATGTCATGGGCATCACTCATTAACTACAACCTCAGGGTGATTCAACTGTGTCATACATGTCCAGGAATGAACCTTTTTCCATTATATCTCAAATTCTGTTGCATTATATCTGTGGCATGATGTTATCTTCTAAAAGATTCTGTACCAAAGCTCAAAATATTCGGCACATTTTTGGTCTAGGGACCACGATGTTCTTTAGGGCCAATAAATCTCATTTGTCTGATTACTTCTTCCTGTAATTATGCATTTTCGCCCCCCCCCCCAATCTGGTGCTTATTCGGTGAATCTTCAAATCTGATGGCAAATAAAGGATTTCTCATTCAATTATGTTGGCAGACAGACCCTGGATACCTGAGGGGTCTTCGAGGTTCACTGTATTGCGGTATTTGTCTTTTTTTGTTGATAATTCTCGGTAATCTTCCTAAAATTGGGCGGTATTTCGGTATTGAAAAAGTCTGAGGTGATTGGTTTTTAGTGAATTCAATACCCAGTTCTGAATTGAATTGAACAATGCGAACTGCTAGCGGTGGTATTTTGTTGTATCTATGTTGTATCCTTCATGATTTTTGCCGATGAACCCTTATTTACTTTTGAAAATGAAAAGTAAACATGACTTCTGGTCTTAGGAGGGGTCCCCCATTTTTGTCAATGGCACCTTAATTTGAAATAACTACAGTGTAAAACAGGTCACCTTTTCTTCATTTTTGCTTTTGTAAACTGTGCTGCTACATTGTAAAATTTCTGACACTATTTGTTGTTTGATCGATTGACAGAGCAAATAAATGACAAATTTTGACACACAAAATCCATTCCTTTTGTTCCACCCAAAGCTAAGACTTTCTGTTAATTCAATATTAATACTCTTTCACAAGTACTAAACAGTCTTTCACAAGCACTGATACGCAATTAAATTATTTATATATATGTATGAAACGGTACCTCGAGTGCTTTCACAAGCCACTCAGGTTTAATGCCATCAGCTCTTTCTTAGCTTTTTAGTTCATGACTGTTCCGTGTATCTGTGTGTGTGTGTCTACAAGTGTGTCACAAGGTGTCCCTGATACAAGTTTTTACCCCTTATAAAGTGTTCACGATGACTGCACTTATATGCACCTCAAGTCGATTCATCAGTAATACTAAATATTCACTAAACATTCTTGCCGATTACAGAATGAACGTTGTTCAAACTTTAATTTAGGGAAGGAATTGATATAAAATACGTCAGATACTTGATCTTAGTTTAAAAATTATACTTAAATGTTGAGAGGAGGGGGTGCATTCAAACATTAACTTTATAGGATGGGAGATCTAAAAATTACATTATTTTAGGAGGGATTATCTTATTTTTTGTCAGCTCGTTGATCAGGCTCCCATATAGCCCCCCTAGCACTACACCCCTAGGCTTGATTTGACATAATGCGATTCCTCTCATTTTTAGAAAGGAAACATGCCAGTGGCAGAAACTACGGGGAAATTAAATTTTTGCTAAATTTCCAGTTAAGACACGCTTTTGTAGGTATATTGTGTCATTTGTCGGCAAATTTGCTTGTTTTGTGGGTAATTTTCATTTTAAAAACTCGGTATTACGGTGATAGTAAAATTTTCTTGCGGAATCATCTGATACCAAACAAAGATCCCCCTTCCTAGTTAGAGCCAGCCACGTTGCAGCGGGCACTGGAGGGGGGGGGGCTGTACCCCCCAAATTTTGTCAACGACTTGCCCCCTCTGGCTACAGTTTTTCCGAATGATATTTTGAAGATTTGGCATAATTATAATTCCGTGAGCTTAATTTAGTGCAAATAAATCTGTTTGTTGTATCTGTTTTCTTATTTTAAAGTCTGCCCCCCTCAAGTATGGTTCTTGCTTGAGTTTGCTCACCTTAGCCGACATCTATAGCTACGTGGTTGTTTAGAGCGCAATTACACTGCTTACACCCAAATATTTTAAGAAAAAATTAAGGATGATCCAGCCCCAGAATTTCGAAAACTTAAGAACAGCCAGCCTGAACTTCGATCTTATAAAAAGTGTGTCTAATTTGTCCTTTCAGAAGCACAAATCTGATCACACTACTCTAACAGCGCACCGACCATCTCACGTGACGAAGCTTTTCCACAAGAAGGAGGAAGTTGGCCTGATGTTGTTGCTTATGGTAAACAGATGATTTATCAGACACTGGAGATAGTTTTAGTAGATCTTTTAAGATGCTGTTTTGGTTTTTATTATTTTCTGTGTCTATGGTTCATCTTGGGCCTGGCGTCAATGCATGTGGCGTGAGCACTCACATAAGCATAGCCCACGAGGCTTCCTTTTACATGAAGGAATCAAAGTATGCAGATATCGTCAAATCGAACAGGGATGCTTTTGTAGCCGGAAATCCTTATCCAGATTTTGCATATGCTTCACAATGCTTTGATGCAAAGTATCACGATGTTTCGGAGACAACTCACTGGGCGCCGTTTTTGAATGCGACTGTCAATTACATCAGGCGAAATTTCAAACAACCATGGAACGCTGTAAGAATTTTATTTTTTCTCAGTGCCGTTTACTGTTATAAAGGAAACATACTACAGCTTGACAATTGTTGAGGGGGGCTGGAGCTCCCCCCCCCCCCCCCCCGACAGCCTGGATTTTCTCGAGCATATTGAAAACGTGGGGAGGGGGAGTGGTCTTTGGGGTTGACAGTTTTGCGGTATTTGTCTTTTTCTCTGTCGGTAATTTGGTAATCTTCCTCATTCTGGTGATGAAAAAATTGGCGGTGAACGGATTTAATGAATTCATTATTCTTGGAGTGATTATTTTATCTTTGTTAGGTCGTTGTTCAGCCCCCCTAGCATTGCACCCCTGGGCTTTATAGACAAGTTATGATTTGATCCCTCGTTTTACAAAGTGTTATGCAATTAGTTTTATGTTTTATTTAGTTTTGTGATATTCAGTTGCCTGTTCTTTTGATGTTCTTGATAGTTCCGTTGTTTGTCACCTTGCCATCAACATTCCGTGTTATTGCATCATCCCATCGCCACTAATGTTGTCATCAGTCCTTTTGTTTGTTTGAAGTAATTATTTTGTTATCGTGATTAGGGTGTGTTGTCATGTGATTTTTGTGCTACGCCCTTGTTTGTGAATTCAGTCGTTAAGTAAGCCGTCAAGTAAAGTCGTTTTGCGAAGTTGCCGTTACGTGGAATCCTTGTTTAGAAAAATTGAACTTGTTATCGCCGCCGTTGCTTTTTGGATGTTTAATTACCGAACTGTTGATTTTTCTATATAAAAACTGCTACTACTAATTGAATTGCTGTACTTTATGTGAAGAAAAACTTCCGTAAAACTTCGTAGTTTTACATAAACTTAAAAGCACTATGGGAAAAGTAAGCTTTATTTTTCGTGGGTGGATGAATCCAGAGTACATTTTTAAGTGAGGGGGGCTCTAAGCGAGTTGGCAAATCCCCAAGTCTCAAGGTAGTTTGACACCATTATATTTGATACCACAACCTTAATATCCTACTTCAGCAAAATGTGGGGGGGGGGGGCTTCAACACCCCAGCCTCCGGCCCTGTTGTGCCTATACACCCTCCAACCTGACTCCCCTTTTGAAATTCCTATTTATGCACCTCATCGTTACGAGACGATACGAAACGGGGACGTCTGAATTGGAAGGGTCGATCTATGGGTATCTGACGGTACGATCCTCGATGCACGGTACGACGTGTCGGTTTCCATTTTCTCCAGGATGTAACTCAGTAAGAATGCCCATTCAACGTTCTTTTTGCAGCCATCAGATGAAGCTCTGTCAATTTTGTTTTACGTCGCTCTAATGGTTTCGAAAGTGACGTCATTAAACATAATTTTGACTTGGTTAAGAATATAAATTATTACTTTGGCCCTTATTTTGTGTTGAATGCCGATTCACTCTCGTATTCTTGGGTCCTTTGTTCCAGTTTGTAACTTATTTATCTTAATTTATGGGTCCCGTTGATCCTGAAAACAGCACTTCTAGGATCGTCTCATCTATTTATTCTTTGGTTTCAGCGAGCCAAGAAGCTGATTGCATTTTTATTTGGGTTCATCTCACATCAGGTAGCCGACATTAGTTGGCACAGCCTCGGAATCGACCAAGGCTTCATTCGCGCTATGGCGAACGTGAATTTCCACGCTGTCTTTGAAGACGCCCATGGAACTGCTGACGTAGGCGGAGACATGATCTCCCAGCTAGAGGGAGACGATTCGCTAATCAACCAGCTGCAATGGTAAGAGTATGACACAATCACATCCAGAGACGTAGCAGCCTTCAAATGCCCAGGGGGGGGGATGTTCAAGACAGTCACTCTAATTTTAAACCTATGTACAGTTGAATCTCCATTAACGGACACCTCTACACAACGGACACCTCTCAACAACGGACAGATAGTTTCGTCCCAGGTGATCAAGACACTCTTAAAAAATCTCTGTACAACGGAAATCTCTATACAACGGACACCTCTCAACAACGGACAGATATTTTTGTCCCAGGTGATCAAAACACTCTTAAAAAAACCTCTGTACAACGGAAATCTCTATACAACGGACACCTCTATACAACGAACAGATTATTTTGTAAATGGCTTTGAAAAAAGCAATCATTTAATAAACTAAAGCTTTTCGTCTGACACTCTTCAGAGTTTAAAACGTCAGAACATAGATCGAAAACTCTACGCTAAGAAATATATATACCCACAACTGGATATATACCCACAATAGGTATATCAACAAAGGACAGACAATTTTGTCCCAAATGGTCGAAACGCTCATGAATAAACCTATGTATAACGAACAGTTTCACTTGTCCAAACGGTGTCCGTTTTATGGAGGCCCCACTGTGTTTTTGACAAAAATATTTTGTGCATTTGTAAGTAAAACAGAGTTAATGATACATGTGTGTATATGGCTGGAACAGAAGTGATAAATGCTGTAAAAATGTGTAGGTACAATCCTTTAACTGTTAGGTAGTTTAGGGAGTCTGTGTATGTAGATTTAGATGGCTGTGTGGCCAGATTGCTAAGTTTGGAGAGGCGAGGAACTGTGAGAGAAAAACATTAAAAGTAGAAGTTTCTGTAAATTTTTTCGTTAGGAAAAGAAATCTGCGAGGAGCAATTCTCTACAAAATTTGTTATTCAAAAAAACGAGAGAAGAGTATTCAGGACAAAATAGTTATTATTCTGTAAGAAAGATTATTTTGTTTATTATTATTATTATTCCTTGCTTAAGAAATCTTTGGCTCTTTTGGCTGCTTCTTGGGATTGACGGTCTTGTTTAGTTAATAAAAGTTTTTTCTGCATTTTCAAGGTTTATTCCTTCTAAAGATCTGTATCAAATATACTTGGATTATTATGGAAAGGAAATGGTCACCCAAGAGATTATCGAAGAGTGCACGACGTTGTTGTTTCTTGCTTGGCTTGGTGAAAAGATTGCTGGAGCAAAACTGTTCAAAAAATATGCAAAGAAGTCACCTTTTCTGCATGAAAAACTGCACAATTATTTTCTTGGTATGTTCCTAAATTCATATGCAAGTTTAGATTCATATCATTTGACACTATATTTACAATTCATTTGATACATGTTAATAAGTGAAATATTCATAAGATAAGATAATTAAATTAAGTTTTGCCAAAATTAAGTTTTTAAAATTAATTTTTACCGGTCTGTCNATTGCTAATAATTCAGGGCCTCCGATGAAGGGGGGGGGGGGGGCCGGGGGCCTTGGCCCCCCCCACTTTTTTGCAAAACAATAGAGTTTTTTCAAAATCTTTTGGTATGGGTGTTAAATTTTCCCTTGGCCCCCTCACTTTTCAACCTTTGTCGGAGCCCATGTAAAATTAAGAAATCGGATGATGACTAAGCATTCTATTACTTCTAAAATGGCCTCTACCTATCCAATGAGCTAATATAGCAAGTCCAATAACTATATGACATAAATAATTTGGAATGCAATGACCTAGCTACCCAAAGGATCAAATACTTTGACTCAACAGCTATTTCCTCTTTCTTGGATGTGATTTTTGTGTGATTTTTCAGTAATCTTATAATAATGACTAGTCTCAATTAGCATAAAGGTTTCTAAAGTCCCACTGTGGTATTTCTATTGCCCTTCAGTTACGTCATACTAAAGGTACAAATATTCTATGCATTATAACGTAGGTGTGTTTTTCAAGCTACACGCGTGATGTCTAGTTAATATGGCGCATTCTGTTTTTCACTCGTTCTCCGGCACAGCGGAGCGTTGAGAGAAGTGGGGGGTCTAAAAAAGTGGGGGAAGTTTAGAACCGAATAACAAGTGGCTTGACTGGTGATTCATTTGTTAATTTTTTTGCATTTTAGGCGAAAAGTGGGGGCTGTAGCCCCTCCAGCCCCCTTCTCCTCGGTGCCTGTTTCTACAATATACGCCAAATCTGTGGGGGCACTTTATTCAACTTTTTGAGTTAGGATGACGTCATTGTTAAGTTTTCTTTCATATATCGGATTCAAAGAGGGTTCTAAATCTAAACCCGGAGGATCTCAAAATTTAAATTCTCATTCAAAGGTTTTTTAACAATGGGGATCAATATGGGGAGTGAAGCCAGGGGCGTAACTTGGCCAATAGTTTTGGGGGGGTGAAAAGGGTTTCTGCCCTGCAAAACTGAGTGGTGCCCTGCAGACCTCGTAGCAACGGTTTGTCTATAGGTTACTAGTGAAAGCTTTACCAGTGTACACTGGTCTTTACCAAGGACAAACTTCTAAGCAATAAAAACAAACTTGAAACTTCATTGCCTATGAAATATCTATTTCTCTACGTGAGCGTAATTTTTTTTATATTCACTTCATTTAATGTTGGTTTGCAAAATACTAGCTAATAAACAGCTAATGGGGGGGGGGGATACTTGATGCAGACAGCGCAACGAAATTTAGCTCAGGGGGACTAAGAATCAAGTTTAGTGAGGTAGGAGGACCCACCATGGTTGGGTCCGACGTGAAGAAAATTTTTGAAATTATACCTTCTAAAAGGGCTAAAAAGCATCTTTCAGACAAAAATTTAGCAAAATACTATTGTGCTAAAAGAACTGATTGTTTATTGAAATATTATTGTTTATTGGAAAAAAAGGGAGGGGGAATATCATGCTAAAACTCTAGTGTTAAACGTTGGGGAAGGAAAGAAACGGCAACCTTCGTTTCAGATTGCACGTAGTTGTGAATGACAGAGGAAGATGTTGTTTTGATTTGAGGAATTTTTTTTCCTGAACAGAAATGTGCAGTTTCTTGTATCGAGAAGGACATGTTTACACATAAAAAATTAAAACATTGCAATGATACAGAAAATGATTTACTGAATTAATGCAAATGAAAGAAAAATGATAAAAATATACGTGCAAAAGTTAGCAATTAGATGAAACAAATTCGGTTCTTAACAAGAATCTTAACAATTTATAATGTTTTTTAGTTCATGCACTGTTAAAAAGTAATAGAAAAAATGATAAAAAATTCTTATCTTGATCAAAGTGAGGGCCTTCGGCCCCCTATTCCCCCCAGTGACGCCGTGCCTGTCATGAAAATAATTTACAACTTAAATTAATTTGCATGGACTCAATTTTGCCCTCATAAACATATGCATCCATCATTGCATCCATTGGCTATGACTTTCGGTAAGAAATGCTTTCGCCTTGCAAATAACGGAGCTTTTATTTACATACCTGTTCCGTTCTCTAAAATACAATGTCAGGAAGGGAGGTTCATAAAAAATACGATATTTCCATTTAAAAATTCCTAAACGGCCCTTTACGAACTTCAGAGGTGGCATTTCTGCGTGGCAATAAAGCTCTTCTTGGCGCCCTGCGAAATCTTCGATTGCCCTGCGAAATCGACTATTTTTTGGATTGGGGGGGTGTCACACCCCCCCACACCCCCCCGGTATTTTCGCCCCTGGGTCGATCTATGGGTATCTGACGGTACGATCCTCGATGCACGGTACGACGTGTCGGTTTCCATTTTCTCCAGGATGTAACTCAGTAAGAATGCCCATTCAACGTTCTTTTTGCAGCCATCAGATGAAGCTCTGTCAATTTTGTTTTACGTCGCTCTAATGGTTTCGAAAGTGACGTCATTAAACATAATTTTGACTTGGTTAAGAATATAAATTATTACTTTGGCCCTTATTTTGTGTTGAATGCCGATTCACTCTCGTATTCTTGGGTCCTTTGTTCCAGTTTGTAACTTATTTATCTTAATTTATGGGTCCCGTTGATCCTGAAAACAGCACTTCTAGGATCGTCTCATCTATTTATTCTTTGGTTTCAGCGAGCCAAGAAGCTGATTGCATTTTTATTTGGGTTCATCTCACATCAGGTAGCCGACATTAGTTGGCACAGCCTCGGAATCGACCAAGGCTTCATTCGCGCTATGGCGAACGTGAATTTCCACGCTGTCTTTGAAGACGCCCATGGAACTGCTGACGTAGGCGGAGACATGATCTCCCAGCTAGAGGGAGACGATTCGCTAATCAACCAGCTGCAATGGTAAGAGTATGACACAATCACATCCAGAGACGTAGCAGCCTTCAAATGCCCAGGGGGGGGGATGTTCAAGACAGTCACTCTAATTTTAAACCTATGTACAGTTGAATCTCCATTAACGGACACCTCTACACAACGGACACCTCTCAACAACGGACAGATAGTTTCGTCCCAGGTGATCAAGACACTCTTAAAAAATCTCTGTACAACGGAAATCTCTATACAACGGACACCTCTCAACAACGGACAGATATTTTTGTCCCAGGTGATCAAAACACTCTTAAAAAAACCTCTGTACAACGGAAATCTCTATACAACGGACACCTCTATACAACGAACAGATTATTTTGTAAATGGCTTTGAAAAAAGCAATCATTTAATAAACTAAAGCTTTTCGTCTGACACTCTTCAGAGTTTAAAACGTCAGAACATAGATCGAAAACTCTACGCTAAGAAATATATATACCCACAACTGGATATATACCCACAATAGGTATATCAACAAAGGACAGACAATTTTGTCCCAAATGGTCGAAACGCTCATGAATAAACCTATGTATAACGAACAGTTTCACTTGTCCAAACGGTGTCCGTTTTATGGAGGCCCCACTGTGTTTTTGACAAAAATATTTTGTGCATTTGTAAGTAAAACAGAGTTAATGATACATGTGTGTATATGGCTGGAACAGAAGTGATAAATGCTGTAAAAATGTGTAGGTACAATCCTTTAACTGTTAGGTAGTTTAGGGAGTCTGTGTATGTAGATTTAGATGGCTGTGTGGCCAGATTGCTAAGTTTGGAGAGGCGAGGAACTGTGAGAGAAAAACATTAAAAGTAGAAGTTTCTGTAAATTTTTTCGTTAGGAAAAGAAATCTGCGAGGAGCAATTCTCTACAAAATTTGTTATTCAAAAAAACGAGAGAAGAGTATTCAGGACAAAATAGTTATTATTCTGTAAGAAAGATTATTTTGTTTATTATTATTATTATTCCTTGCTTAAGAAATCTTTGGCTCTTTTGGCTGCTTCTTGGGATTGACGGTCTTGTTTAGTTAATAAAAGTTTTTTCTGCATTTTCAAGGTTTATTCCTTCTAAAGATCTGTATCAAATATACTTGGATTATTATGGAAAGGAAATGGTCACCCAAGAGATTATCGAAGAGTGCACGACGTTGTTGTTTCTTGCTTGGCTTGGTGAAAAGATTGCTGGAGCAAAACTGTTCAAAAAATATGCAAAGAAGTCACCTTTTCTGCATGAAAAACTGCACAATTATTTTCTTGGTATGTTCCTAGATCAAACGGGAAATTCATATGCAAGTTTAGATTCATATCATTTGACACTATATTTACAATTCATTTGATACATGTTAATAAGTGAAATATTCATAAGATAAGATAATTAAATTAAGTTTTGCCAAAATTAAGTTTTTAAAATTAATTTTTACCG